TAACCATTTTATTGCATTTCCACTCACATTTTTCTATAGATATTGGTTACCCCAACTTGGGTTCTGTTTTTCTTCCTTAAGCTGGAGCTAAAATTTTAAAAGTAAAGCAAAAACATGCAGAAGTTTTTTTTGCATCATCCATACCCACGTACTTTTAATATATATATAGGACTATGGTCTCTTCACCGGTATCTAATAAACTTACTATGGATGGACAGCCCTCCTAAAACCCTGCCATCAAGTACCACATAACAGATACATCTCCCCAACCCAATATATCTCGGCTCAGTCATAAGATCTAGATGTAGCAATTCAGTTAGGCTGTATTAACAACCGCCTTCCCACGGCCCATAGCAAATCCTCTTGTTCCATCTGGCATACGAGGACCAGGGGGTTGCTTCGCTATGGTTGCCTGCTCATTGATGACCATATTGTTTGAAGGGGATGCACCCACATGGTTTCCACGGCCGTTATGATGGTTATTCTGATGATACTGAGCCCGCCCACGTCCCTTGCCCCGGCCCCGGTTTCGCCCTTTTCTCTGCCCACCCTCTTTGTCATTGACAGGCTCCTCTCCCTGCAAGAACAAAGTTATGATATGAGATTTTCGTATAAAAGGGTTGGCAATAAATGATCAGACTATCATAGCAAGGTTATAAAAGGGAACCTAAGATTAACAGTATCATGGGTATTGAATATTGATGAAGGGTGCTTTGGGATGATATACGTATTACTAAAATGAATGCATTCCAACATGAGATTACTTTCTACATGATGCAACAGCATGCGGTGGATGGGAATCAAAAGCCCTTATTCAAAAAGCAGCCCCCAGGCCCCCCACCCCATTTTGCAGTTATTTTCATGAGTTCAGTAAACTTTTTGCCTCAATAAAATTGCACCATCATGTCTTAAGGATGAGAATTTTAGAGTCACTTACCTATCCATGCCATATAGAGACTAAAATGACTGTTCTTATTATACAAAACAAGCAGAAAGCAGACCAAGTTTTCCAGAACTTACCAAATGGTCATGTGCATGTACATCAGATAACTGAGAAGGATCTTCTGGTTGTTTCTCACTTGGCTGCTGCTCAGATGTGTAAGTATCATCTTCTTCATAATGTTCTTCACCATCATGGCCCTTTTTCCCTCTTACATGAACAGGTTTTGTCTAGGATTGAAGATTAGAGAAGCAAATCAATGAACTAGTCTTGCTTCCATGATTCAACTAAAATTAGCTAAAATCCATGTAAACCATAGCTTTGGACTGAAATTAATGAAAGATTTAAAAATGCAAATTACAAAATAAAAACTACCTTCAAGCAGCCAGGGAAT